CAAAACTGGTGACCTTCTAGCTGCAAGGCAGCTGTGCTAACGACCGAGCCACCTTACAGCCAAACTAAAAGCCAGAATTTTTCAAATTTATACAACTTTATCTGTAATGAACAACTAAACAACTGATGAAAAATATTTAACTTTTTCATTATGTTCACATTTTTTTTCTTTTCGAAAGAAAAAGAATTCAAAAAATGACAAAAAGTAGTACCAGCAAAAGTATTATTATGAGTCAGATGTAGCTGTTACACTGTGATGCTGTGCTCACACCAGATGCAAATTCATCGTGCTACTTGCGCGTTACGCGCGTATTTGGACGCGTGTGTGCACTGAGTTTACTCGCTTCATTTGCGCGTATAAGTCGTGTCATTCGCGTGTCAAGATTTGTGTCTGAATTGAAGTCAATCACGCGAATGACGCGATCCAGATGCTGGATCCATGGGATCCCCCAGAGACGCACACAGCTCGGGGAATTCCCCCACCTTCTCCAGGAGCTGTGCCTGGATGACGACTGCTTCCAGCACTGTTCTTGGCTGATCCGGACCCAGTTTGACTACCTGTTGGAGAGGATCGGTACCACGATATCCCTCCAGGATACTAACTACAGGCGCTTGCTGAGATAGAGCGATGTTTTTTCCGTGCCACATATAACAACACGGACGGCCAGCAGCCGCCAGCAGGAGTACGCTGACCACAGTGACGAGGAGCCAGCAGAGGTTTATCCCACTAGCATTGCGATAGCTAGCAACTCGGCTCGCTAGCTTGCTAAGTTGAAGGGTGTCATTCTTGTGTGTGATCTGGAGGAGAGGGACAGCCAGTCTGCTGAGCACTGAGATCTGCCTTGGACAATAATGTAACTGCTTATCTCCTGGGGTGACTAAATCAATCAGTAATCACAGTGTAGTTGCAAAAAAATGAATGAATCATGTTGACTTCACCAGAGAATCTCAACACTGATTGGCCATCCAGCGCGTCAGATCGCAGACGTTCCGATTTTTCAACTTGCTCTTCAGACGCGCGTCTAAAATCGCATCAAACGTGCGTCAAACTCGCTCAATTCGCATCAATCGCGCCGCACTACTCATGCTACTTGCGCCACAGGACATTTACTCGCGTCTAGTCGCGTCTTCACATTGACTTTACATGTAAATCATTCGCGCAAATGATTTTACTTGCGTCTGGTGTAAACACAGCATCAGACTTTATTATTATTAATCATCAGTGGACCTCTTGTACATAGCTGGGCCATTTTTAATTAAACAGCACAAAAAAGATAAGGCAGACACTCACATCTAATATCGCTTTAGTGAAACAGGGCTTTCCATCTCCATGTGTGACCCTCTGTTATTATGTGACCAGAAATCCATACGTAATTACAATATGAATAAAGCAACACCATTTCTATGTCAAGTCAATAACTTTAATAAGTTGGGCCTTGTCTTCATTTTTTTTGTTTTGTTTTTGTTTTTCTTTGTTTCTTTGTTTGTTTTGATCATTTAACTGTTTTGGAACAGTGCTAAAATATATAAAGGCATTTTAAATTTTTCTCAGGTTATCATATTGTAAAGTTTGACACTAAAGTTACATTTTGTATTGTTTATATTTATACTTTAGATATGTTTTATCATATAGAGTTAAAAATATTCTTGTCTCTGGTATGGTATGAAATTATGCCTTAATAGAATGTCTTAACTGTATTTACTCTAAAAGCGCATGAGAGGTGGCATCAACAATGATGGCGTAGGTATAGTACAACTGTGTATGACACTGATAACAACACATGCATTTTTTCCTGATAGATGCTATATTTTCTTCTACTGACCTAAAGTTTCATCAAAGCTGACAAGTTGTTTTATCTGCTCACTCTGCATTGAGTGACGTCTCCATAGCATGTTCTTTGCCTTTAGATCCCGTGGGAAAATGGGTGCGCAGGGTAGAATAGCCTTTGGCCCTGCAAGAACACCATTCAGTGTCTTGCTACTTCCACTTAAAGGGTAGGAGGCGCCAGAGCTAACCCCAATATCTGGAATAGGAGCATGGGGATTCAGAGGGGGAAGATATCCAGGGCGAGTGTGGGCAATGTGATCCAGAAGAAGGGTCCCTGATTCTCTTCGCTCCAGACCAGCAGCACCTCGTCTCTGGATGGAGCTCTCCAAGGAATCCCTGGATCCTGACAGCGTGGAGGATTTGCTGTTGACTAGTTTGTGCCTTTCTGGTCCTGATCCAGCTCCACTACCATTCTTGAAGGTTTTGTCTCGGCTGCCAAACTGCGGCAACTGAGAGTCAGAACTGTAGTGGTTAATACCAATGTTACGCCGACGCACCACATTCTGCAGACTAGAAACATTCAACTGTCTAAGACAGTCTGTGGAATTTTCATCCACCGGACTGGATTCAAGGGGAAAGGTGAGACTGTCTTGATGCAAGTTTGGGTGTGAAGCAGAATGCAATGAACTTGCAGCACTGTCATATGACATTTTTCTCCCAAAGCGTCTTTTTCCACCTCCTCCTCTGTTCTCATTCCTTGACATGTTCTCTAGTGCTTTCAGGAGCCCTGTTGTGTCTTTGGCATCGATACTGTGGTGGCGTGAAACAGTTGGAGGTCTTCCTTGGAAGGCAAGGCCACTGACTCGGAAGGATAGTTCCTGCTCAGGAGTAATTTCCACTAGGTCCTCTGTCAGAGAAGAGGCCTGACTTTGCTGGAGCAGCAGGGAAGGGCTTTTGGGCCACTGTTGTGAATGTAGCCTATGGAAATTAAGTCGCTTATCTACATCAGGAGCACGTAAAGGATTAGGATGTTGGATTGGAGAACCAGGTCGAGATGTGACTACTGTAGGTCCTGAGCTCAGACACTGTGGATCTCTGAGGCCAAGAAGGGGACTACCAGGTTGGGGAGAAGCAGTTGCTGAGTGGCCCTGTGGAGGAGTTTGTAACTGGATCTGATGTGATGACATGCAGCAAGATACTGAGGTGCAATGCAGACGTTCCTCAAGGTCAGGAGGTGGAGGAACATTGAGGTATTGCTTTGTCATTTGGTGGCCAGAAGGCAGTTTGTTGGTTGTGATGATGATGACCTCCTTACCCTTTGCTTTACAGGCATCCAGGAGGACACTGAGGATGTCCCTGTTGCCTGAATTGACTGCATAAACTAATGCGGACAAGCCTGCATGATCCTCCAGAGTTGGATCAGCTCCACTGGCCAGCAGGAGAGACAGGATTTCAACCCCAATTTGTTCAAGGCAAGCATGCATCAGAGCTGTTTTCCCCACCTTGTCTTGGATGTTTGGATCGGCTCCATTTTCCAGAAGATACCTATTTGGGGCAAAGATCACATTAATTATACTAGGAAAGAGAAAGAAAGTCATTTTGAACAAAAACACATGCTTTCAAGAATAAATATTATTCATGTATCCCAAGACAACTTACCGAACCATTTTGTGTTTGGGTACACTCTGTGAATCTGTATGCCGCGTCTTACAGGCCACCATGAGCGGTGTTTCACCATGCTCATTGCTTTCATTTATGTAAGCCCCGCCCTGCAGCAATAGCCGAGTCAGACGCAGTCGACTCAAATAGACAGCCTTTAGCAGAGAGTTGCCGTCTGTTTGAACCTCTGTTGACTCATCCATTGAAAGGATCTTTGTTGAAGAATCACAACTTCTTTCTTTAAAGGTGCATACAGCCCAGCACCTGCAATACAGGAAGAGGAACATGAAGTTCTCGGGTAACCATCGGGTGTGTAGCTATTTGGGCTTTACAAAGAGGCTCCTCAAACCACATCACAGCATAAACAGAATTTGTTTGACATCCAGTTTTGTTTGGATTCTTCTGAACTCATCACCAGTCTTCTCTGTAAATAATAGCACACATCTGTACAGTGAGACGCTTCCATACTTACTATACATATGTAAATATAGACTTTTAAAATTTGTTAATACTACACCAAGACAATATGCACATTTCCAACCCCAGTCTCACGGTAATTCGTGAAATAGTCATGAAACTTAATCTATTGTTTCGAGTCCTGGAACACGATTTGCCCAACTTTTTCATGTTCCCAGCAGGAAATTCAAACCAATACATTTCAATTGGAATTATATTTCGTGTCTGGGACACGTTTTTTTTTTTTTTTACCCTATTAGACAGCGCATACTGTGATGTTTTTGTCGTTCTTTTCTTCCAACAGTCAGGCATTAACCAGTTTTACTGTTATGGCCCATCGACACTAATAACTATAGAGATCATTACACAGATGTGTGCGCCCACACTGACCAATGCTAACATTCTGTAAACACATGCGTATATGCTCTGTATTCATTCAAATAGAAAAGACAAGAAATATATCCAGGCAGAGAGAAGCTGTTCTGAGATCGCACTGAGAGTGATCCCAACGATATCGTTCATAGTTATTATCGTTTATTTGTGGTAAAATATAAGTGCTTTTACTGTGTTTGGGCTACATGCTCGTCATTACGTTTGTTAGATCCGATTCTTTTGTTGGAAACCCAAGAACAAGCCGGAGAAATCTTCAGTTCTCAGTTGTAGAATTTATTTGTTTCAGTCACAGGTAAAGTGAGGCAGCGCTGGAATTCAGAGGGACAGAGAGGATTCTCATGTTCAGCTGAACTGAGGTTTTTCGGTTCCAGGTTACAGATATCTTCTTGGGCTGGGCCTGCCCCCAACATAGATAAGATTTGTATGCTCCCGAGTTTAATTGGCCAGTTACCAATGGCGTGGACAGGCATACCTCTTCTGCGCTCTGTCCATGTCCTTGATATTTGGTAAGCAACATGTGTGGATGTTGTTGGTACGGCGTGTAGCTAAAGTAACAATCGTATCTGATAGAATAGAGGAGTTTCCGCTGTCTCCAAGTGTGTGAACTCGTTCTCACCGGCCACATTATCTTCAAGGACGTATGCTGTTCTCAGTAGGAAAACACGAAACAGAATCATAGGCTTAGTGCAAAATACAGATTCAGGATACATAATAGCTCGAAACATACTTAATTATAACACGTTCATTTCTCTGTAAACGAATACAACTCTGAAAAAACAAACACATGCAGGAAAACGGCAACCAGAACATGTACTGTGATCGCAGCGATGGATAATGTGACAATTGTAACTGAGAGGGCAGCAGTGGGGAATGTATCCGTAGCTTTGTGAATCTTTTAGCTAGCTCGTTGAGGCTGGCTACATAAGCTACTACCCTAGCTTAGCCTAGCTGCTGCTGCTTCTTCTTCCATTGATTTGGCAGTTGGCGTCCAACATTCAGGTGCATTACTGCCACCTACTGTACACCCAAAAACATTACAGACTGTGTAGGACGGATCTCTTCCGGGTCTACGGTGACGCTGTGCGCTGACGGTAACAGGGTTGCCTTAGCAACAAGCGCTAATTTCCCCCAAACACTGCCGGTGTAACAAAAAACACAAAAAATACACCAATACAATGTACTCTTTTACATTTATCTCATACTACGTGTATTATACTTTAACAGTAGCACATTTGTCAGCACTTTAATCCATTTATTTTAGTTTTATACAAAAACACAAGCCTAGTTGTGAACCCCAAGAAGAACTACATATTTCATGACGTGTCCAATCACGATGCATTGTTACGCGACTGGAAGTGGTAGTTCCTTCTTCAAAATAGCCGTTTCTCCTAAATGGAGGGTGAAATATAAAACTTTAAGTGCATTTAGGGGTTTAAATTGATGAGGAACATGTTTATTTGGACTGACTTTACAAATGAAATTGATATATATAGGTGAAATTAAATTTTTACCATTTAGTCTCATTTTAATAAGAAAAAGCAACGAGTAGCTACAACAGAAATTAGGCCTTGTTTGTACATATACATGTATGGCCCTGAGAGAGTGCTTATAACATAATAGTCTATTTATAGTAAATGAGAGGCCATGGAGCAACTACTATATATCTTAATCCATTTTTTGTCCTTGATTTTTTTCTTCAGCTTGTCTCTTAACCCCCCTTGTATGATGACGTCCTTTTAACCAGTTTTTAACTACCTGTCATTTCATACTACACGTATTATAGAAGTGTAAAGCGTACATTGTATTGTGGTATTATTTTTGTGTTTTTATTACACTGGCAGTGTTTGGGGGAAATTAGCGCTCGTTGCTAAGGCAACCCTGTTAGCGTCGGCGCGCAGCCTCGCCATAGACCCGGAAGAGATCCATCCTACTAATGTAGCCAGCCTCGACGAAGATTCATAAAGCTACGGATACATTCCCCACCGCTGCCCTCTCAGTTACAATAGTCAGATTGTCCATTACTGCGATCACAGTACATGTTCCGGTTGCCATTTTCCTGCACGTGTCCGTCTTTTCAGAGTTGTATTCGTTTACAGTGAAATGAAAGTAACAACAAGCATGTAGCCCAAATACAGTAAAAGCACTTATATTTTACCACAAATGATAATAGCTATGAACGATATCGTTGGGATCACTTTCAGAGCGATCTCAGAACAGCTTCTCTCTGCCTGAATATATTTCTTGTCTTTTCTATTTGAATGAATACAGAGTTTATAGCAGCACCAATGTGTACAGAATGTTAACGTTGTGTGGGCGCACACATCTTTATAGTGATCTCTATAGTTATTAGTGTGGATGGGCCATAACAGTAAAACTGGTTAATGCCTGACTGTTGGAAGAAAAGAACGACAAAAACATCACAGTATATGCGCTGTCTAATAGGGTAAAAAAAAACGTGTCCCAGACACGAAACATAATTCCAATTGAAATGTATTGGTTTGAATTTTGTGCTGGGTAACATGAAAAAGTTGGGCAAATTGTGTCCCAGGACTCGAAACAATAGATTAAGTTTCATGACTATTTCACAATTTGCCGTGAGACTGGGTTGACATATCTGTATGTACTTAGAATTTGAGTTCTACACAAACTGTATATTCTGCACTTAGATTGTCATACTGTTTTTTGTGTATAATATGAACAATATGGAATATGTTTTGTCAATGATGCAAGATCAGACTGCCATGTTGGTGAACTTGATAAATGCAGTGATGTAACTATCTGACGAGGACGTCAGGGTTTAGTGGGGGAGGATGTAACCCACCTAAAAATTACAATCGAGAATAGAAGATATTTCATGTTAGATAAAAGTTAAAAGTTCATTTGAGTAAAATAGTAGGATTCGTATGGAAACGAATATGTTGAACATTTCATTTATTTGCAGATAAATACACAAAA